CGCCGATGGTCGTTCAGGAGCAGGCCCGCCGTCGCGCGGGCGCGGGCGGCGAGCGGCATGGCGGCGCTGCGCGGCCGAAGATGTTCCTCCCGGGCACGGCGCGCCCCACAACAGCAGGGAGCCCTCGAGCCCCGACCCCTGCCCCACGAAGCGGCAGCCCGCCCCCCTGTCGCGGCGCGCGCGACACGCAGCGAGCGGCAAGATGGCTGCCGCGCACGCGCACGCGCTGGCGCTCAGCGGGGCCGGGGGGGCAGCCCGCGCGCGGGGCGGAGCAGCTCGCCCCCTGCCAGAGGGGTCGACGGGCGGCGCAGCAGGCCGCGAAAGCCCCGCGCCCGCGATCTCGCGAGTCGCGCAAGACCTGACAGACAAGCAGGGCGCTGACTCCGCGGAGGCAAGAGTTGGCGCCGGGAGCCGCGCGCGAACCTTCTCCCTCCTGGCAGCGCGCCCACCGCGTCCGGGCGGGGGCGCGCCTCTGCACGGCGCTGTCGGCGCCAGGACCGAGGACGATGCCCAATCACTTCACTGCCGATTGGATCGCGAAGCGCCCACGCGACTGGTGCATCAACCGAAGCAGGAGGACCCCATCCGTCGTGTCTGACAGTTCCTCTGCGGGGGGCGCCTCGCAGCACTTGGCAAGAGTCAGCTTGAGCGAGGACAGCCGCTCAATCACCCAAAAGATCGCCACGACGGGAGGGGCCAGGGGGGGGGGTCGCGGCTCACGCCGCGAGGCCCACATCGCCCGCGCATCACCCACTGGAGCCGCTCTTGCCGTTCGAGTCGACCTGGCCAAAACCAAAGTCGTCGGGGCAGGCGTCGAGCGTCTCGCGGCAGCTATTGGTCCGCGCCGAGGTCTCGGCGACGGCTGTCCGTTGACGTCCGCGGCAGAGCGCCAAGTTCGGAGCGCCCAGGTCCGCCGAGCCCGCCTCGGGCAGAGTCCCCGCGGGAGGCCCTGCCACGCCCGCTGGCGCGCGGCAACGGCCAGCGCACATCTCCAAGCGCGCGCGTTGCCCTTGCAAGCTCCTCTGGGGCGCACAGAGATATGCGAGTACTAATTATGTGTCCTCCTTGGGAGGCGAGCGTCCGACCCGAACATGTAGTGCGCCCACCTTGCAGCACATCGCTGCCCGAGCGGCGTGGCCAGAAAGCGGCAGCGCGGCGGGCGCTCGATCCTCGCGAGCACGAAGGGGGGAGACAGCGGGGTGCCGAGCCCGGCGCGGAGCTTGGCGCGCCCGCGGGCAAGTGCGCAGCCCGTCCATACTCAAGACCCTCAGGGCTGCGCCGACGACGGCGATGGGCGTTGTTGGCATGATCACTCTTTGCAGCGAACGCGGAGACCCCTGAGGCGCTGCGCGACGACGTCCTGCTCGGCACAAGGCTCGCGAGTGATGGCGGCGACCTCCGTCGGATGCCCGCGCCCATAAGCCCGCGACGGGCCAGCGCAAAAAGCCTGGGAGCGCTGAACTTGGCGCAGTCAGCAACGCCGCGGCGCGCACTGATGGCGCCTGTCTCGAGCCCTCGCTGACCTGCAGGCGCTGCTCTTCACGCGCGGTCTTCCAAGTCACGCGCAACGGGGCGGCACGCCACATTGGAAAAGCGCTTACGTGCGACCTTACGCGAGCGGCTTACGCGCCAACGTCGGCGCAGTCGACCCTGCTTTTTTGCGTGGCTCACACTCACATGGCACGTGAAACAACGGGGGGGGAGCCTCGCGGCGTTAGATGCTCGAGGCGCCAACGCGCCGCATGTGGCGGGGGCTCCGCCTCCGGCTTCCCGGACGCGATGAGATCTGCAGGACCCAAAATCAAGGCGAGGGCGGGCGCGCAGGACTGGGACCACTCCAAACGCCCAGGGCGCGCCAGAGAGCGGGCGCACATCACGCCCGAGCTGGTGTCGCACATGCATTGCCGAAGACCACCGAGTCCCGCGGATGTCGCTCTGCGGTTGTAACAAGCCTCAACAACCGCGAAATGTCCAACGAGCATGCCCATGCGTTTGGGGGCTCTCCAAAGCCATCACCGCCCTACGAACGCGAAGGCCGCCACAATATCGACGAAGCCTACCATGCGCTCCATGGCGCGGACGTCTTGCTGGATGCTGGCCTGGCAACACTCCGCGCCGCGCACTTAGGCGTCGACGATCGGGTTACAACCTGGAACGAAGCCTCGCTGCCACGGGCGAACCCCATTCCCGCGTGCAGTCGCGGCGCCGATCTGTTGGCGCACCAGCACATGGATCCGACGTCCGCGCTCTCCATATCGAAATGTAGAAGTTGGGGTGCGAGACGGGGACAGTCCATCAACTCCTGCACGCCACCGCACTGCGGAAGGAGGTTAAAAAAAACAATTAAAGCCAGGGTGGTCGAGCGCGACGGGCACGCTGTCGCCGATGTGCAGCGCGTCGACGGCTCCTTCCGAGGCTGGCGCTCTGCGGAGGGCGGGCCATCAGGCCAGAGGCCGAGCGCTGGCTTTGTCCGATGTCCGCGCGGGGCCTCCCACCATCGACGCCTCCTAACATACTCAAATTCCAAACACTTGGAAAGAATACCACAGCAGAGCAGAACATACGGTCCTGCGACGAAAAGGGATCGCATGTGCAAGGTATAACAAATAATGACCTGTAAACCAAAAGCAACACATGCCATGTATTAGACCCAAGAAACGGATATTGAATCGGACAATCGCAAGTCGCTTAATAACAAAACAAAAGTACACTCCATTGCAATAGCATAATGTGGAACAAAACATAACTGCAACGAAAAATCATAATAAAAACGCAATGCCAGACTACTAGAGCTATCACAACGAGTGCAAATCTAATAATGATATCGCAAGTTCGTAAACTGTGCTGTTCAGAACCAAATAGGAAAGAACAGATCCGAATACAAACTGTAATAACAAGCACAACAATACAGATGATGCTATTTACCATACTGTGCGACTTCCTGGAAGTATATGCAATGCGAGACTTCAATGTTACACAACATGACAGAACACCATGCAATATAACATCACCTATTCCAACATAGCAGAACATTACGTAATACAAAATACGCATATGGTCCAGAATGACGCAATGTTGAATACAACAAAAAAGAAGACATCAGCCACCGAATGACGGCGTCATATTTAACGCGACGCGCGCGCCGAGGTCAGGCTGGCCACGGGGACAACGAGGCGCAACAACGACCGATTGGACGACGTATCAAACGTGACAGGCGTCACGACGTAAAGCCGGCCCGTCCAGAGCAAAGCAGAACATACCATAATACAATAGAATAGAAGAGTGCATCAGTGAATAAAAGATACTTATCGACTTCGGAATATAGCAGCGACCGGTTGAGGCGTCATATCAAACACAGCATGCGAGCCGACGCAAGGCTGGCCACAGGAATAAACCCTACATGTCCAGAACAGAACAGGATCGAACAGAACGTGATAGAGAAGAGTGCAGCACTGACCGAGCAACGGGGTCTGATCAAACGCGACGTGCGCGTCGAGCTCAGGCGAACAGCACCAGACCCGGGCACAAACGCCGAAGGTTTCGGTGGAGATCGCTCGAAGCAAAATAATGTTGTGAATGATCTTGACATTCGCGCGTGGAGGGCGTGCGGATGTGGGCCACAATATATTAGTTGTCTGGATTTTGAAAAAGGGCGGTTAGCTCAACGCGTGCGCGCCAAATTGTGATGTGCTCAAAGGATGAGGAGGGAACGATAATACGTCGACTGGCACTGTACAGGTTGGCACTGGAAACTGTATGACGATGCACTGTATAAGTTGGTACTGGACACTGTACAACGATGGTGCCGAAAAATATGAAATGCACACGCGCAGGAGGTGTTTAGTGCGGCATCGGCAGGGGGGCCGATCCAAAGTCTTCACCCGTCGAAAAAAACCTCTGGTGGGCAATCCTGGGGTGTAGAATACGGGGTACGATCTAGGGGGGCGGTCTGCAGGGTGCAACCGACAGAGTGCAATCTCAGAGCTTCACCCCATGTGGGTGGGTGGAGGGGCAATCTACCGGGTGCAATATCAACGAGCCGAGCATGTGGAATTCGCTTCAGTTCCTGCATGCGAAACGCGAATTCCTCATCGCAAATATGGCCAGGGGAATCTACGCAAATTTACACACGCATGATGAAACACATCCTCGCCAATGTCACAACGGCGGTCTCGTGATCTCATCTTCCTTCTCCTTCATCACCCCTTTCCTGTGCATCTTTCCTCCCCTCATCATCCTCGCCTCCCCCCTCCCCCTCCACTTCCTAGTCGTCGCCGTCGTCATCCTCATCCTCACGTCATCCCCCTCAACTTGCCGAATCCTCTACCACATCGCCATGCCGCCATTCACAGCCTATGACCTCTGTCAAAACACATTCGCGTACTTGCGCGGACATCCGCGAGCGATCGCCTCACAAACAGCCGTTGCCGAATAACGCCAAGCAGCGTTTACAAAGACTGGACGAATAACCATTTCTATCCGCCGCCGTGCCAGTGGCAAATTGGGGCGTATCAGGATGCTCATGTGGGTCTGATGGGGGTTCTGTAATGTTTCTAGGGCCGATCCCCCCCTTACGCGCGCGTGTCATCAGAACATCGTCCCCCAAACTTGTGGTTCTGCAGTCTGGAGCCATGTCTGGCTTCAGTAAAATCCCAAGATTAAGCAACATCGTTCACCCAATACCATCCAAAGACTGCCCAAAGAGCCCAAAGAACCCACAAAGGCACAAAACATCTCCCCAAGATAAACCAAGAAGTCTCCAAGATACGATTCGAGAGAGCTCCAGTGAGGCCTCAAGAGGCGAAACCCATTGCAAAACTGAGACCCCCAGAGGCGAAATCCACTAAAAAATCTGAAGGGAATACCTGCTTTGGGCTCCCGAGGCTTTTCGGCTTCAGATCACATCGTGGAAGCTTCAGAAAGCCACCAAAGCCTCCTAGACTGCCCAAACATGCACCAAGGCAGCACCCAGATGGCCTCCAGACTGCCCGAGAACCCGTCAAGACGGCTCAAGAGAGAGAGCTCCAATACAGCCCCAAGACAGAGGGAACGAGGTCAGGTTCAAGACGCACGCAAGTTCAGACCACGCGCTGGACTGGCGTGGGTCTGAAGCTCAACTTACTTCGCGCTGCTGTTCTACACTGGCACGTTGACGGGGTTTGCTGCAGGCAGCTCGATAACGCACGCCGCAACTTCATGCCAGCGCGGAGGTGTGGGGGTGGCAAACAATACGGAAGGGGCCCTAGGACACACAAACAAATACACACAAATAAAAGAATTCCCTATATTTTCCGACATTTTCTGGGTTTCTGTCTTCCCCCCCATTTCCCATAATTTTCCCATATTTTCTGGGGAGTCGACGGTTAATTGTGTCTGTGTTTTTTGCCCTCCTGAAATACTTCCTCCCTGCTGGCTTTCCCTGCTCTGGCTCCCTCCTGCACCTGCTTCCCTCCAGATGGTCATGGTCCTCCTCGGCGGCCACGGCAGATGGAGGACAAAAAGATGCGGGTGCCGCACCTCCCCTGACCCCTCCTGGGTCGCGCTCTGACCAGGCTCCGAGGCGAGTCCAGCCGCGCCGACGATCGAAAGGCAGCAGTATCGTCTTCTCCCCCTCCTCCGAGCAGCTGATGGCTCTGTTTTCCACCATCACCACCATACGTTGGAGGGGGGGAAGGAGGTGGAATACGGAGGAGGAGGAGGAGGAGTAAGAAGAGGAGGAGGAAGCACAGGAGGAGGAGGAGGACCCCCTCCCCCTCCAACTTTTGGTGGTAGTGGTGGTGGATAACAGGCCCATCCAGCAGCGGTGGCGGCCGCGGCGACGAGGCGCCCAGCATCAGCAGCTCCGCCACGATGCGCTCGCCGAGGTACCCGGCGCCCACAACCGCCACCGCGGGCGGGCGCCCACGCGAAGACGGGTGGCCTCCGGGTCGGCCGGCGCGTGTCCGGATCGAGTCGCCGCCGCCGTCGCTGCCGCCGCCGCCGTGTCCCTTCGGCCATCGCGGTTTCAGATCCTCCTCCTCCTCCTCCACCTCCTCCTCCTCCTCTTCCTCCTCCTCCTCCTCCTCCTCCTCCTCCTCCTCTTCCTACTCTTTCTCACCCTCCTCCTCAGCCTCCTCCTCCTCTTCCTCCTCCTCCTCCTCCTCCCCTTCCTCCTGCTCCTCCTCCCCGTCCTCATCTTTCTCCTCCTCCCCCTTCCTCTTCTTCCACCCTGTTTTCCTTGTAAAGAACTCCTTGGCAGGTGGCTGGACGCATCCCTCACACGCCTTTCTGCTTCACAAAGACCTTAGTATATGGTTCTGCGCGCATGCGGCGGATGTTTTGGCCAGGCCCAGCTCCGTGGCTTAGGAAATCCGTGCTGGCCCCATCTTCTTGCCTAGGTCAGGTGCGGTTACCTCGATCGTATCAGTCGCGGACTGCTCCCCGAGAGCTGAGCCAGGACTTCTATCAGTGCGTGATGGCGGCAATCCTGGAACTTATGAATAATTCCTCCCTGTCACCCCCCAGACGTGTCCGTCGGGCAGGGCGTTCTGTCTGAGACATCTTCACCATTTACAACACTGAAGCTTCAAACTTGTAACACCCTCAAGGATGGAAGGCGGCCCGTTTTCGAAATCCTCCTCCTCCTGGATGGAGGAGAAGTGGGGGAGGGAGCAGGCAGGATTTGGACGACGAGGAGCAGGAGAAAGAGAAGGAGAAGGAGCACGAGAAGGACAAACAGAAGGGGGATGAGGCAGGGGGCGGGCGGGATGAAAGAGGAGGCAGAGGAACAGGAGGAAGAAGAGGAGGGAAAGATGACGGAGAGGAAGAGGAGCAGGAGAAAGAGGAGGAGGAGCAAAGCAAGAGGAAGAGGAAGACCAGTGTAAACTCAAGACAAATCAACGGTGTTATAATATACCCTCCCGCAACCCTCCCGCAAAGCTCCCTCCTCGAAGGCCCCTACAAAAAAACTTCACTGCAGGACGTGGCCGACTGATAAACTCCCCCAGGTGCCTCGCGAGGACCACTAACTGGCAATGGAAAAATAGCTTTATAATCTGTATACATATAAATATATATATATATATATATATATGTACCATGTATATGTGTATATGTGTAGATGTGTACATGTGTAGATGTGTATGTGTATTGTGTATGTGTGTACGTGTGTATGTGTATGTGTGTATGTGTGTATGTGTAAGTGTATGTGTATGTGTATGTGCATGTGCATGTGCATGTGTATGTGTATGTATGTGTATGTGTATGTGTATGTGTGTATGTGTATGTGTATGTGTATGTGTATGTGTATGTGTATGTGTATGTGTATGTGTATGTGTATGCGTGTATGTGTGTATGTGTGTATGTGTATATGTGTGTATGTGTGTATGTATGTGTATGTGTGTACACATACATACGCATACATGTGTATGCGTGTATGAATATATGCATGTGTATGCATGTATGTGTTACGTGCACGTGTCAAGATGTGCAAAGATGTGTGGGTGTGCACACGCGTGTACGTGTAGCGGCTTGTACGTGTGTGAATATATGTGTATGCGAATGTATATGTGTGCATGGGTGTATGTGTGTATGTGTGTATGTGGGTGTGTAGGTGTGCATGTGTATGAATGTATGTATGTGTGTATGTGTGGATCTGTGTATGAGCATGTGTAGTGCTCTGTGTATATGTTTATGCGTGTATGTGTACATATGTGAATGTGTGTATGCGTATGTGTATGGGTGTATGTGTGTATGTGTATATGTGTGCATGTGCGTGCATGTGTGTATGTGTGTACGTGTGTATGTGTGCATGCGTTTGTGCATGTGCGTATGCATGTATGTGTTTTGGTGAATGTATGTACGCGCGTATGTGTATATGTGTATGTGTGCAGATGTGTAATTATGTGTATACATGTATACGTGTACGTGTATGTGTATATGTATGTTGCCCACGCCAGAGGATTCTCTGCACCGCTGACTTAAAGTGTATACGCGTGTAGATGTGTGCATGTATGTATGCGTATATGTGTATATGTGTACAAATGTGTATACTTGTATGTCTGTATGTATGCGCGTATGCGTGTATCTGTGTATGTGTGTATGTGTATGTGCATATGTGTATGTGTAGTTGTGTATGTGTTTGTGTGTATGTGTATGTGTCTATGTGCATATGTGTCTATGTGTATGCGTGCGTATGTGCGTCATGTCTGTGAGATGTGCATACGTGTATGTGTATGTGTGCATGTGTGCATGTATGTATGCATGTATGTATGTATGTATATGTGTATGTGTGCATGTGTGTATGTGAGTATGTGTGTATGGGTGTATGTGTGTATGTGTGCACGTGTGTATGTGTGTAAGTGTGTGTATGTGTGTATGTGCGTATGTGTATGTGTGCATGTGTGTACGTGCGTACGTGTGTATGTGTGTGAAGGGATGTGGGTGAGGGGGAGCTCCGCCTCGTCAACGCAACCCTAGGGCCTGCAGAGCCTCCGAAAAAATCCAAGAGGGCCCAGACAGATCGCCAATGCGGGTGGGGGGTCTTGGAGGGGGGTCCCAGGGTAGGTCCCGCCTGTGGTGGGGGAGGGCGGTCCTGGGTCAGAACACCGCCGCCCCTGGTGTCCAGGCGGGTCCCAGGGGAGGCACAAGCGAGGGTCCCCGGAGAGGTCCTGCATTCAGAGTCGGCGGCACAGGCTGTTAGGACTTGATATACAAATATGCCAATATATATATATATACACACCCTAAAATATAAAGATATACACAAATATAACGTAAATAAATGAATAGGTAGATGTGTGAAAGAAGGTGGGTGGGGGGGGCACGAGCTCGTCAACGCAACCACGGGGCCTCCGGAGCCTCAAAAAGCCCAAGAGAGCCCAGACAGAGCGCCAAGACAGTCGAAGAGAGCGTCGAGACGGCCCAGAGTAATCCCACGACGACCCAAGATGACGTCAAGACGGCCCACAAGGCCCCCGAAACGTCCCAAAAGTGTTCCGAGAAGACCGCCGAGAAGGTCCCAAGAGGCAAGCATCTTCCCGTTGTCTTCGTAAAACGTACATGTTTAGCACACTCGCCTCTTTCGTCTTGAAAGCTTCTGAGCCTGCCAAAGGGACCCCCAAGGTCGTCACAAGACGGCCGATGAGCCCCCAAGAGGGCCCCAAGACGGCCCAAGAGGGCCCTGAGACGGCCCCAGGGGTCCCCAAGACGGCCCAAGAGAGCTCCAAGAGGGCCCGAAGGGAGCCCAACAGGGGGAATACCAACTGATACTTCGAACATTTGCCCACAAGATGGCCCCAAGAGCCCCCCAGAGGCCTCCGAGGCGCCCCAAAAGGGGCCCCAAGAGGCCTCTAAGCTGCCCCCACGAAGCCCCAAAAAGCATCCCAAATGCACCCAAGAGCCCTCCAAGAGGCCCCTGAGAGGCATCCCAAGAGACCCTCACATTCATGGCTGATGATATATGCGGTAGGCGTCCCTTGGCCTTGCCGCATGCTCCCCGGGCTTTGCCCGGGGCGCGCTGGGTCAACCTGCTCAGAGGCCGCCGCGGCAGTGCCTGAGCCTCAGCCCGAAGACCACCCACCCACCCCGGAGGAAGAGGGGGCGCCAACCAGGCCGCCGCCGCCGCCGCCGCCCGAGCGGAGGGGAGGGGAGGGGAGGAAGGGGGCCCACGAGGCTCCTGACCCACAGCCCAGGCATGATAGCGGGTGAGGCCAAAGGCCACCAGTTAACGCCCACGATGGTCGCAAGCTCTGACTCCTTCTGGGGGCCGGCGGAACGGCGCAGGCCACCTGAATGTACATATATGCACACGCATATGAATGTAAAGATTCGAGCACCCCTCATGTTCCATAACACTTCGAAAATCCTAGGTTGTGCAAAAAAAAAAAAAAAAAAAAAAATCCTGGGACTTCAGCGCCGCTTAGCCACGTGATTGCTGCGTCCTGAAGACCCCAGATCGTGCCAGAACACCATTCCTGGGACGTAGACCCCACGAAACCTCGAAACAGCTGCAAACATGTACAGCGAATGCGCGCGGCTATGAAGCGAGAACCACATGCTGAAAGGGAACCGCTCTCCATCCTTGACCCTGTTGCGAACTTTTCAGACGAATGTGCGGGGCGCTAAGGCGAGAGCTCCATTTTGAAAACGGCCCGCCCTCCATCGTTGAAGCTGTTGCAGATTCCAAGCTTCAAGATGATAATAGGGTGAGATACTATCAGGCGGAACGCCCAGCCCGGCCTACGGACACTCTTGAGGGTGCGACAGGGAGGAGTCCTGAGGGAAGAGGACGGAGGAGAAGACGGGGACGAGGGAAGGGGGAAGGGAAGGGGCAGGAGGAGGGACGGAGGGACGGAGGGTCAGGAAGCCCAAGTCCAGACGGAGCAAATCCGTACGGAGAGCGACCACTCCGTCTGGACTTCCTCCGCGCGGACGAAGCATCCTCCGAGAGGGAGGGAGGCCTCCCTCCCCGCCCCTCTCGGGGGCGGCCAAGAGGGGGGCGTCCAAGAGGGGGAGGTGCAAATCGTGGCCGGCGGCACGTGCGCGGCCAACGGGGGGTGCCAGGGACCGAATGAAATGAGAAGAGGCGCCATGAGATCTGGAGAAATATCATGGCCCACGCCATGACATCCACCCCCCCCTAGTCTTGTGGATGCCACGACAATGGACACCCTAACAGTAGTCCTAGCATTGCATTTTAGACGTGTTCAAAATATAAGGAAAAATGTTCTAAACGTGCTTCAGGCATCTTGAACACATGCTTTAAACATGTTTAAGACATGCTTTAGACATCTGGAAATTGTTTGGCAACCTGCTTCCTCTCCACTGATCGTCCTCCACAACCCTAGTCATCACCCCCCTCTTTGCCGCCCCCGCCCCTCGCGGCGCCCGCGCCGCTCGCGGTCCCGCCCGCGGCCCAGCCCGCGGCCCGCGCGGAGGCCGTGCCCATTGGGGCGCGGGGCGCCGCCCTGAGGCGCCGGGAGCGACGGCCGCGCGGCCGCTGGCGAGAGCCCAGCGGGCGCGGAGGAGGGCAAAGCAGAGGGAGGACGGAGGAGGCCGAGGGAGAACGGAAGAGGAGGAGGAGGAGGAGAAGGAGGAGGAAGAAGATGCGGAGGAGGGGGAAAGGAGGGAGAGGAGGAGGAGGAGGAGGAGATGGAGGAGAAGGAGGAGGAGGAGGAGGAAAGGGGAGGGGGGAGGAGGAGCAGGAGGAGGAGGAGGAAGAAGATGCGGAGGAGGGGAAAGGAGGGAGAGGAGGAGGGGGAGGAGGAGGAAGAAGATGCGGAGGAGGAGGAAAGGAGGGAGAGGAGGAGGAGGAGGAGGAGGAGGAGGAGGAGGAGGAGGAGGAGAAGGGAGGCAGGAGAGGGAAGAGGAGGAGGATGGAGGCAGGAGAGGGCGGGGAGGAGGACGAGGAGGAGGAGGAGGAGGAGGAGGAGGAGGAGGAGGAGGAGACGGGGGGAAGCAGTCGTCGTGCTGCCAGAATGAACGCGAAGCAGAAAACAAGGGTTTTACATATGTTTTCTGGCCACGGCGAGCCTCGGCCACGAACGAGCTCCCCCACCCAAATCGAAGAGATCGCCCGGAACCCAGGGCCCCTCTTGAACCCAAAAAGGTGTTTGTTGTCCAACGTGTTGGCTGTACGTTCGACACCCCCCTGGCATTAAGCCAGCGCACACGCGGACGGCGTACAGTCGTCATGCAGCAATACAGAACGCCAAACAAAGAACAAACGTCCTTTTCTGGCCACGGCGAGCCTCGCCATGCGGCGACGCGCCCCTCTCGCTCCTCTCTTGTATGCTCTCCTGCTCTTCCGCTGCAAGCGTGCGAGCCCGAGCACTGCTCACTGAAACTTCACGTAAGCGCTTGCTCCCGCAGGCGCGGCTTCACGCTCGCTTGGCGGCGAGCCGGCTCCAGCAAGCGGTCAGCGAACGACGGGGCGCGACGGGTGCTCATCACACGCCAGCGCACACGCGGATGGAGAGGGGCAGCTCCCGGGGCAGCGCGCGCACGCACGCGCGAGCCGCAGGCGCGCGGAGCAGGCGACCTCGCCCTGCAACTGCAGCGCCCTCTCCTGCGCGTGTGGAGGGTTCGCACCGACCCCTCCTCCTCCGCCTCCTCCGCCTCCTCCTCCTCCTCCTCCTCCTCCTCCTCCTCTTCCTCCTCCTCCTCCTCCTCCTGCTCCTCCTCCTCCTCCTGCTTGTCCTCCTCCTCCTCCTCCTCCTCCTCCTCCTCCTCCGCCTCCTCCTCCTCCTCCTCCGCCTCCTCCTCGTCCGCCTCCATTTCTTTTTCCCTGTAGATAACTCCTCCCTGTCGCACTCCGAAGCCGGTCGAAACGGCGGGCCGGGCGCTTCGACTGAGAATTCTTCGCCATTTCTGACTCTGAAGCTTCAATATTGCAACCGGTTTGACGGGTGGAGGGCGGCAAGCTTTCAAAATGTGGCTCTCGCCTGAGCGCCGCGCACACTCGTCTGAACAAGTTGAAAGAGCGTCACGGATGGAGGGCGGTTCCTTTTCAATATGTTGTTATCGCCTTAGCGCCGCGCACACTCGCCTTAAAAGTCAGCAAGAGTTTTATGGATGGAGAGCTGTTCCTCTTCAAAATATGGTTTTCGCCGTAGCGCCGCACACATTTAAGTTTGCAAGAGCTTCACGGGAGGAGGGCGGTTCCTTTGCAGAATGCGGTTCTCCCCTTAGCGCCACGCACATTCGTCTTCAAAGTTTGCAAGGCGGCCTCCCTTTCAAAATGTGGCTCTCGCCCTTTCGCGCCGCGCACAATCGTCTTAAGAGTTCGCAGCAAGTTCAAAGATTATCATGCTCAACGTCCTGGAAATGGTATTTTGGCACGATGTCGGAATGTGGCGCATCCGACAAGTTCATTCGAGGTGTTGAAGTCCCAAGAACAGCGTTGTTGCGCTATTCCGGATCGTCAAGGCGCAACAAACAGTAACGGTGATTCGCGGCGTTGAAGTGTCAGGATGGTGGTCTGGTACATTTACGGATGTTCAAACAGTTGTCTTCCAACGAGGCCTTTCTCACATTACTCCTCCTCCCTCTTCATCAACAGAATATTATTCCCTCTTCTTCCCCTCCTACCCCCCCCCTCCTCCTGATCCACGCCCTCTTCGGCCTCTTCATTATTATCATCCTCCTCCTCCTCCTCCTCCTCCTCCTCCTCCTCCTCCTCCTCCTCCTCCTCCTCCTCCTACTCCCCCTCCGCCTCCTCCTCCTCCTCCTCCTCCTCATCCTCCTCCTCCTCCTCCTCCTCGCCCGTGTGCAGGCCGCTCAACATTGTCGGCGACCTGAAGATCCACACCATCGGAGGCCTACAGGCGATGGCCCGGCAGCTGGTCCAGGCGGCCATCGCGGTCATCACTGAGATAGACCGCTTGGGCCTGCCACTCAACGTCAGCAAAGCGTGCTGCCTCTCCGCTACGTCGGAGCTGGTCGATGTGCTGCTGGCGGATCCGTATTGGCCCTTCGACGCCAAATCTTGTTCGCTTCGACTCACCGTGATTTGGGCGGTGATACAACGGACGGCCGCCAGGCGCGTGCCTACGCAGGCCTCCCGTCTTGCTTCTGCTGGCGCCGCGGCTGGCAGGCTCCAGAAAATCGGTCGCGGGAGGAAGGGCGGCAGGTCGGGTGTACAGGGCGGGGCCTGCCGCCAAGGCGACCTGGGGTGCCCACATCGTGGGTCTCGGAAATTCGGCCCTCCACGCCCTTCAAGTCTCAGCCGCCCGTTGTTTCGGGCCCCTGCAGCCCAGGTCTCCCCTGGGGCTCACGCAGCTACTCAGCGGGGGTGCCCAAAAGGACCCGCTGTCCTATGCAACTGCAGCGGCGGTCAAGACTTTTGTCTCTGTCTGGTGGAATAGGTCTGTCTCGAAGGCGGTTTTGGCCTCGGCGTTTCAGGATGCCGTGCGAGTGTCGACCAAGGTGAAACCATGGAGTACCGCCAGGCAGCCCGTTGCGCCCCAGGTGCTCTCTTACGCTAGGATTGGATGGCGCCTCGGCTCTGACAACGAGTCGCTGGCTGATCGCTTTGCGAGGCCGTGGGGCCTGTCGTCTCTCTCTCGCCTTCCCTTTCTGACTGGCGCGCTCGTGAAGCTGTAGCCGACTCGACCGTGGCTGATGAGCAGGCACGTCAAGCCCCTCCCCCCTCCCTCCCTCCCTCCCTCCCTACCTCCCCCTCCCAAGCCCTCCCTCCCTCCCTCCCTTCTCCCTCCCTCCCTCCCTCCCTCCCTCCCCTCCTACCTCCCTCCCTCCCTACCTCAAGCCCCTCCCTCCTCCCTCCTCCCTCCCTCCCATACCTCCCTCTCCCAAGAGAGCGGCACAGGGGGTGTTGGGGCGGGGGAGGGGCGCAGCGGGCGCCGTCCTGCCACCGCCCAGCCTCCACGCGGGGCGCCCGCGCACTCGCCCTCGCCCTCGCCCCCCCCCCCCGCCCCCCCGCCTCCCGCCAGCTTCCTGCACCGCGCCTTCGCGCGCCTCGTCCGTCCATCCTCCTCCTCGGCCCCCGGACGTGGCCCAGCCCGGAGCACAGAGGTGCCCTGGGTCACCCGACTTCGCGCATATCGCGCCCCGCGATGCGCGACGCACGATCACCTTCGCGCCCTCGCGACGCCTCCTCGGAGAAGGGCACCTGCTCTGGCCCCGTCCGCGATGCGCGAGGCGCGACGATCTCGCGCCCCAGCGGGTGGCCCACGTCATCATACGAATGGTCGCCTCGTCGTCTCCGTCGGCACCGCCACGATTTGCACGCCAGGATCAGCTCGCTTCGGCCCCGATGTGCGGCACGCTGCAGCGCTTCCACTGAGGAGTTCTTACTTGCGCTGCCTGCTAATTATTGGCGGGCTTTTCCGGGTTCTCGACTGGTGGCCGCCCTCCGCCGCCTTGTCGCCGCCCCGCGCGCTGGCTGCCAAGTCCTGGCTTCATCCCAGTCGCACCGAAGCCGCCTCGCTGCAGATTGCACCACATATATCAGACCACATGTTCTCCGACCCACATCCCAGGCCGGACTGGACGGCCGCCCCTGAGGTGCTTGCTACCAGACTTTCTTTGCACGACCGCCCGCCCTAAGCATCAACATACATCATGCCAGTGGGGGGGGGGCCAGTATCGACCCCCCACCCCGCCATTTCCAGCAAAACACCACCGTGGGGGGAACGTGCGTTGGTCTAAGAGGTGCCCTTGTCCAAGAATCCCCTGCGAAAACTGACGACACAGGGGCACATGCACGCGCCACAGGGCGCACGCGCAAGTCAAGATCCTTCCTAAATGATACCAGAGAAAAACCCAATCAGAATCGTTTTAGGATTATGGGGCTATGGGGCTATAGGGCTATCGGGCAAAAGGGCTAGAGGGCTACAGGGCTACAGGGCTATAGGGCTATAGGGCTATCAGGGCTATAGTGTTATAAGGCTATAGGGCTATAGGGCTATAGGGTTATAGGGCTATTGGTCTATAGGGCTATAGGGCTATTAGGGCTATAGGGCTATAAGGCTATTAGGGCTGTAGGGCTATAGGGCTATAGGGCTATACGGCTATAGGGCTATAGGGCTATAGTGCTGTAGGGCTATAGGGCTATAGGGCCATAAGGTTGTAGGGCTGTACGGCTATAAGGCTATAGGGTTTTTGGGCTATGGGGCTATTGGGTCTATAGGGCTATAGGGCTATAAGGCTATAGGGCTTTTGGGCTATAGGGCCATATGGCTATAAAGCTATAGGGCTATAGGGCTATAGGGCTACCGGGCAACCGGGCGTGCCGCCGAAATCGGCGCCATACCCCACCTAACCATATGAACCCGCTAGGATCCCTACAGAGGCAGGCTCTGATTGGGGAACTAGTGGCGACTTCTGGTTTGAAACAATTTACTACTCCAGAACGATCAAGAACCTTTGGACTGTCATGAAAAATAGCAGAATTCTGCGCGCGCGCACTCGCTGAAATCACCCGACAACCATAAATGTCGAGCCATCCTATAAAATACGACTGTGCGGGCCACTC